CTAAATTTTGCTTATGCAAACCTAAAATCATTTTAAGTGGCATCATTTAGCCGAAATTTTTCATTTTCCGCCATAGTTTTAGACTGCTCTTTAAAGCTTACTACCATTTTCTTTTTCTATTTTTTTTTAATAAAAATGAAAACAAGATCTTAGTTTCGACTCTTGCTTTTTTCACCTTCTTCGACCCTTGATCTCTTCCTTACTCCATCTCAAACCAGCCTTTGATTCTCTCTGTCTCCCTCTCCTCGTCTCTCCTCTTCGATCTCCTCTCCTCTCTTTCATTATCTTTCTCTCTGAAAACCCTAATTTTTTTGTACTTCGCTTCGTTACCGATTCGGATGAAGTATCTAGCGATGAAGGAACGCAATCGCCTCTTCTTTACCCATCGGAGGGGTTGATTGACATCTTCGTCACCGTTCATCACTGGATCTCGGTATCACCACCATCAAAAGATCCCAAACCATAGCTATCYGGTAAATCTTATATRTCTTTTCGCATCTCTCACATCCTCGCTAAATTTTCCAATTTTGTATCGGAATCTCTCAGTTTGATAGCTTCGAATTTCCAGCTGACCTAATGAGCAACATCCCAAAAGAGAGTGACCTCTATCTTTCAAAACGGAAAGAAGCAACGCAGATTTGAGATGTAAGTTCGAAGTCCCAAAAATTACTTATATGATTCTTTTCTCATTAAGCATCATTTTCATGTTCCTTTACATAAATTCCAGCTTTGATGAGCTCGAGAAGAGACTCACTCCGCATTTCTCAAGGCCTCGGATAGTAAACATGTGAACTTATGAGTGGTATGTAAAATCAGAAACTGGATTCAATCTCCTCCTTTGATTATCTCTGTAAGTATGATTTGTGTTTGTGTTCTGTAGTGTTGTTCGTGAACTTGTGTAAGGTCATGTAGCTGTATCGATCGAACAATATGGAATCTTGATGAGTTTAATTTGGTTCAGGAAAATGTCACTTTTAATATGGTCGATTGTGAAGAACAATATCTATAAAAAAGGAAACGAGTGTAACTTGTTTCAATAAAAATGGTATTTGTCATCCTCACTAGAGAGATTAACTAATTGATTAGCTAAGTGGTCTAGACTTTTTCTATTTTCACATCTATATATATACACATATATACCTTTCGGAGGATTTTTGACTATGAAGATTTATAGATTTTTCAAAGCTCTTGCTTCATACAACATTAGAAATGTTGAGATGACAGTTTCAAGATCTCACCGTACCAAGGTAATTCCTTATTCATATACTGGAGAGATTAGGGTGTACTGTGCAATTGCTCGATCTGTTGTTCTAAAGGTTTAATGCTTGTTAGGTTGAGTTAAAGAAAAATCCGAATTTGGTGGCTTTGGAGTTACTTAATATGATGTGATAGTTAAAAGAGTGTGGCTTTGAAGATTTATAGATTTTTCAGAGCTCTTGCTTCATACAACATTAGAAATGTTGAGATGACAGTTTCAAGATCTCACCGTACCAAGGTAATTCCTTATTCATATACTGGAGAGYTTAGGGTGTACTYTGCAATTGCTCGATCTGTTGTTCTAAAGGTTTAATGCTTGTTAGGTTGAGTTAAAGGAAAATCCGAATTTGGTGGCTTTGGAGTTACTTAAAATGATGTGATAGTCAAAAGAGTGTGGTCTCATTCAGATTAATTCCGATGGTGATGACTTGTGTTTTTCTGTGTTGGCTCTAAATTTTGAACATATGCCTCTGATTGAAGTGGCAGACTTTGATTGAAGCCTATGTCGATATGAAAACCACAGACAGCTATACCTTGAGATAATTAACAAAATAATTTMTGTTTATTATGGATCCCGTAAATTTAAATGTTGAATAATGTTATATGAGATTCACATATTCCGTATTTGTAGCAAGAACCAGAACAAGTCTTCAACATTGAAGGACAATTTGGAGTTTTACCGCAAAAACCAGAACATTTTTGTATTGTTGGATAGCAAAATGGTTGTGGGATTGTGCATGAAGAAGAAGTAAAGTTCAATTCTGGATCATATGGTGGATCTATAAGCAAGAACATAAGCATTTAGATGATGATGATGATTACTCACGAAAGTGGTAAGCTTTAGAATAGAACTGGTGATGGTCGATCTGATGTATGACTAATTCTATGGAAGAACTTTAGATTTGTTCAATTGTTGTTGTCTATGCTTAAATTGGTGATGCAGAAAAGAACGAAACTTGTTCAAGCAAGTGCAAGCTTAGAAGGATAAGTACACTGAGGAAGAAGTTTGTTTCTCTTTATTCATTGTGATTAGCATTTTTTTGTGTAGTAGTACGTGATGTTTCTATCTAAGATTTGGTTTGATTCGAGTTTGTAAGAGTTTTATGGATTTTATTTTTATATAAAATTTTCTTTAATATATATTGTTGAAGGTAATAGTTTATAGCCTATAACATATACCTGCAATAAACTAGATAACAATTACAGAACAGAGCTACTAAAAAAATATAGTGTAGTGCATATAAAGAGCTACAAAACAAATTAAAAGAGCGATAAAAATGTGTTATAATCATCAAATTTAGAGCACTAAATATA